TAAGTCTTCCCACCGAGCCTAGCTTTGTCCTACAGTACCGTGACATTAGGTTTTGTCTTTTCTAAGTGGGAATTTGTTGTGAATCCCCCGGTGCTAGGTAGCTACCTCTTTGAGAGGTCTTTGGTGCCAAGCTGCCAGCGTTCAAATCCCAGCCGCTCCACTGTCTAACCCGCGGGTTATTTAGCTTCACTATTTAGGTGCCGTTATCAGTAGAGTTGTGAAGATTGGATGAAGCATACCGCACACAGTCATGCTCCAGAAGTGTTAGCTTCTGTTATTATTGGAAAGTAGAGAGGCTATCCTCTTACTCACTTAATCACCTCCACCCCCATTTCTAGCATATAGTAGTTGAACAAATACTTAATCCATTTAGTGTTTAGTACAAAAAGCAAAAGTCAAACACAAAGAGTTGGGAGAAATAAGTTCAAATGTTGTTTAGCACAGTAGGGTGACTATAGTTAATGTATATTTCAAAAAAGCTACAAGCAGCCAAGTGCAGCGTTGCATGCCTTAATACCAGCTACTCAGGAGGCTACAAGAAGGATCAAAAATTCAAGGCCGGCCATCTCTAAATTTAAAAAGGCTAGGATGTACTTCAGTGGTAGAGTCCTTGCCTAGCATGTACAAGATCCTAGGTTCAATCCCCAGTAAAGGATGGGGGAGAATAACTAGGAGAGGATTTTGAATATTTGACCACAAAGAAATGATCAATATTTGAGTTGAATATGCTAATTACTCTAATCTGAATATACCCAAAGTATGGGTGTGTCTAGACATCATATTAAACCCCATAAGATTGTACAATTATTATTCTAAAATGAAAAAGTGACTTATTTTGCATCTAAATGTCTTACAAAATTGAAACCAGGATTATTTTGTTTTTTAATCTCTTTCGAGTTGTTTTATATAAATTGGCCTGTGACTTGGTTAACTTAATGCCATGAAATCGGCGGTTTTGAAAGTATTGGTTAGAATTTTTCCTCTTAGGAGTTCACCATCTACTCTAAAAGGAGTACAGTCACAGAACCATCCATATAAGGGAAGTTGTGTCCAAATTTAAGATAGGTATCCTTGGAAATAGATAACAAATCCTGCCACTAACAATTACTGTGTATATCATTTTCACACATTCTGGTCATAACTGAAAAGATTGAAATCTTTTAAAGGTGAGAATTGAAAGCTTTGGTAAATTTCTAGGAAACCTTTTAAAACAAAGTGATGCTTTAGCTGTGGAAATTAAATTTGTGGCTTTAAAATTAGCAGATTTCCTGGGGCACAGTGGTGCACATGAGGCTGAGACAGGAAGATCTCATTCAAAGCCAGCCTCAGCAAAAGTGAGGCGCTAAGGAATTGAGACCCTGTCTCCAAATAAAATACAAAATAGTGCTGGGGTTGTGGCTCAGTGGTCATGTGCCTCTGAGTTCAATCCTTGGTTAACCTGCCATCCCCCATCCCCTCATCAGCAATTTCATGTGGAATTTTGGAAAAGTGGGGACTGGATTGATTTCAGAAATGTCTTTGGAGATGAGTTTTGTTTCAGAATACTTCAGATGAATCTAAATGAGTTTTTAAAAATAACTCATGGTGGGTAGAGTTGCTATGTTTTATGGAATTGACTCTATTTTCTCTCACTTGCAGAAAGTGCTAGATGGGGACAGTGCTGTGAGGTCCTTCCAGAGCACTGCAACAGCCTGTGTACCAGTGTCACATTATCGGACTGTTAAAAGTGTGGATTCAAGTGAAGAGAGTTTTTCTGATTCAGATGATGATAGCTCTCTTTGGAAACGCAAGCGTCAGAAGTGTGTTAATCCTCCTTCCAAATCGGAGCCTTTTCAATTTGACCAGAACAGTGAGAAACCACCTGTTGGTGGGGCAAAGAAAGTTAACAACATATGGGGTGCCGTACTACAGGAACAGAATCAAGATGCAGTGGCCACTGAACTTGGTATCTTGGGAATGGAAGGCACTATTGACAAAAGCAGACAATCTGAAACCTACAATTATTTACTTGCTAAGAAACTTAAAAGGGAATCTCAAGAATGTACAAAAGAACTAGATAAAGAACTAGATGAATATATGCACAGCAGCAAAAATATGGAGTCAAGGGAAGAGGAAAATGGGCAAGGTCATCTGAAAAGGAAACGGCCTGTCAAAGACAGAGTAGGGTACAGACTAGAAATGAACTATAAAGGCCGATATGAGATCACAGAAGAAGATTCTCAAGAGAAAGTGGCTGATGAAATTTCTTTCAGGTAAGCATTTAAATTTGACCTATAAATGAACATTTGACCAGATATCTTCTGTTTACAGGACATAAATGCAAAATGCTTTAATAATGATGTTCCTTTTTGAGACTTTTTTTTAATTTGTGGAATTAACTAGGCTTATTTGATTATCTGAATACATTTATTTTCTTAAATTTGGACAGGCCTGGTAGGATAATTTGTATATACTTTCATGAACTTTTATTTAGTGCTGTATAGCTCTTTAAATAAAACATTTTTGGGCTGGGGATGTAATGAAATGGTGGAGTACCTGCCTAGCATGCACAAAGCCCATTTATTTATTATTTTTATGTGGTACTAAGGATCGAACCCAGAGCCTCACACATGCCAGGCAAGCGCTCTACCACTGAGCCACAACGCAGCCCACCAGAAAACATTTTTTAAACTCATGTATTAAGTGCTCATTTGTGATTCTTATTTTATTGAGATATATTTTACATTTGATAATATTCACTCATTTTCTTTTTTTTTGCGGACACAACATCTTTGTTTGTATGTGGTGCTGAGGATCGAACCCGGGCCGCACGCATGCCAGGCAAGCGCGCTACCTCTTGAGCCACATCCCCAGCCCTCACTCATTTTCAAGTGTTGAAGTTTGGCAATACTTGGGATTGAACCCAAGAGTACTCCACAATTGAGCTATGTCCCCAGCATTTTTTATTTTGAGACAAGGTCCTACTAAGTTGCCAGTGCTTGTCTTAGCAATGCAATCCTCCTGCCTCAGCCTCCCCAAGTTGCTGGGATTATAGGTGTGTGCTTAATGCCATGAAATAAAGATAAACCTAAAAGTTGGTTTTCCTACTTTTAAAACCTTTCCATAACCCAGTAAGATCTTTCATATTTGTATGTCCATTTACAATTAATCATTGCTCATTTCCAGACAACTACTAATCTATTTTCTGTTTTTACATATGTGCCTTTTCTGGACAAATGGAATCATATATGTGTTCTTATGATTGGTTTCTTTCACTTAGTGAAGTGTTTTTGAGAATGATACATGTTATATAGCAATCAGTACTTAATTCCCTTTTAGATCTGTATATGTCCATGTCCGATGGATATGAATATTTCACTTTTGGCTATCATTAAATACATTTTCATTTCTTTTAGGTAAATACCTAGGAGTAGAATTGCTTAGTGGGTGGTAAATTTATAAGTCATGTGTTTTTCACAAGCTTTGTGTTTTGTTTTTAATTGATTGATTAAACCCAGGGCCTTACACATGCTAGACAATCACTGTACCATTGAGCTACATAACCCAGCCCATTTTTTAATTTTTTATTTTGAGACAAGGTTTCAGTAAATTGCCCAAGCTGGCCTCAAATTTGTAGTATTCCTGCCTCAACCTCCTGAGAAGCTGGGATCATAGATGTGTGCCATCATGCCTGGCTTGATCCTATCCAGTTTAAAGCTCCCAGATATCTCTGGAATTAGGAAAACCAACTTTTAGGTTTATCTTTTTTGAACTCAGGCTTATATTCACCTTGCTGCGTGTGTATATATGTATTTTGAAATCTGCCATAATCCAGTAAAGCAAATAAAAATGTCAAGTATAAGACTTGATATGGAACCCTGAAGTTACTGTCTCTTTGCATGACCCCAAATTAGGTGTTTCCATGTCAGTGACTCAGTTAATTATTGAATATTTAGAAAAGCAAATGTTATTAGAATAGGGATTTGATTCTAGTTAAGGGCTATACTGGTGACTAAAGTAGATTTCATCAACAACAAATAAAAGGTTAAATTTACTTTGTTTCTTTTCAGGTTACAAGAACCAAAGAAAGATCTGATAGCCCGAGTAGTGAGAATAATTGGGAACAAAAAGGCAATTGAACTTCTAATGGAAACTGCAGAAGTCGAACAAAATGGTGGCCTTTTTATAATGGTAAGACTGATTCACAGTTTGTATTTTAGAATTGTTTGTCATGTTTTTTTCACCCTAGAAAGTGAACTTCCCTCTTTTGGACCTCTTACTTACCATACATTATTGCAATGTGTTTCAGACAAAATTAACAGTGAGAACTAAATATAAAAGTTTGGCACCCTCTTGTTTTCAATTAATACTTTCCTTACAAAAAAACATAAATTGTAGTCTGTTATTAGGAAGTTGACAACATATCCCTATATGATTCATTAAAGGTAGCACCTAAAATTTTAAGACAGGAGTCTGGTAGGAGTCTAGAAGTGTGAATTTTGAGAACATAGATCTTGAAATACAACTTTGCAACTGCAATTTGGTTTAATTATACGACTGCTTAGAGTCTCAGTTCCCTTAGGTATAAAATGAAGATTAACCTGTGTCAAGATGTGATAGTAGAGATGTCTGTGAAGAAGGGTCCAAGCAGGGTTCTTGGCATATGTGACAGAAAAGAATTTCAGCACAAACCAGACAGAGGCATAAACAGAGGTTTATTTAGGAAGTCGATATACATTCAAGGGAGAATATGGGCTGTGTAAAGTGAGAAATAGCTCTGACTTGGGCTGGGGATCCAATATTTAAGGGCTATATCAGGGGCTGGACCGGAGGTGCATCCAGGGTGAGGGTGCACAATTTTGTGCCAGTTTTCCATACG